AGAGAGGTTTTTGTTTTGTTTTGCCTTTTGGGAAGCTAGAGTAAGGTAGGGAAGATGAAATTAGGAACAGCCGACTTTCTTATTTTTCTAATCTAGACTACTTTGGAAATTTGAGAGGGATTTTGAAGGGAGAGAATTGCTAAGCGAGACAAGTTAGGGCATCTGGTATGTCTGCAGCCTGTAATCAGACTGGTGAAAGCCACGGCAAAGAGATTGCAGAGGTTTCAGAGCCTGTGTCTCCCCAGTCCAGGGTACTCTGATTAATCTCTCCTAGCATGATGAGATTCTAAGGGATACCAATAGTGGGAGAGAGGGCAGATCAGAAACAGATAGCCCTCAGCCTGTGTGTGATCTGCTCAAGATTTTAAACTAAGTTTCAGGGTAAGCACGGACTTTATCTATTATTTGATGATCCTATTTCCTAATAGTTAAACTTCGCAAATCCAGCTTATCTCCATCTCTACGTTTTCTCTCTATTGATTCCCCAGAAAAAACTGAATTGATGAATTGGCATCTGGAGTGTTACTAAAAACTTGAAAATCTTTTCAAGAGTGCTAAAAAGACATTCAGAGGATATTCTGTTTTTTTAAGCAATATAAGTACTGTATTCTGGGTGGACCTTTTCTATTTGTAAAAAATACATCAATTTAAACACTTAACGATGTTGTTTGCCTTCTTAGACTATAGACAGGCTGGTGAAGGTAGGAGTAAGGGCTGATTATTTGGCCAGAAGCTCCTAGAACTGGCCAAGAAATTTTCAGTCAATGCCTATTTTTCCAATAAATTTCTTGTAGAGAAAGCAGAGGTATTCACAATCCTGTCATTGATTTTTAATGCTGCTCTTACACTATTGTAACGAACATTCAATACCTGTTGGTTGTTGTTACAGATGGTGTTTCTCCTGCTGACTGCATTTTTTCAAGATAAACCTGATTTAACTTTTCTTTCCTTCACTTTCTCCTCTCTCCTACCTTTATTCAAGAGACCCAAGGAAGTATCTGCTAGTATCTGACTAAATAAAAGCTACTAGAAAGCCAGTAAGTGCTGTTAAGTCAATTCTTCTTTGCATTTGCTCTCAAGGGGCCGACTTGTCACTTTATTGACAGCTATCAGAGCATTTCATGCTTCATTGAAGATCCATCAAAAATTTCCAAATCACCAGCTTATTAGCACAAAATGGGGCTTTAGAAATCTCTTTCTCTCAGTGTCCCAACTGTGCGATTTTAAGTGTTCCAACTTTGATGGACCACTCTGAAACAATGGATAAAGACTGCAGGGAAATGAGAGATGGATGTTAACCAGTCAGTATTGAAAGAGTGAAACGTGTGAAGGCAAAGTACAATGGAGTGACAAGCTGTATTATCTGTGTCAGCAGAAGGATAATGCATGACTTTTCTAACTGTTCGCAGGTCAGTGAATGTCAGAGCTCCAAGGGCCCTCAGAGATCATCTAGTCAGACCCCTACATTTTACCAGTAAGGGTAAAAGAGGTCGAAAGAGGGGAAAGGGACTTGTCTAAGGTCAATCAGCTCTACCAACTTTCCAGACATCAGCTGGCTTTTGGTTATATGACCTTTATGCTATAAATTTTCAATTACTTCAGCCACTCACCGCTAGCCCAGCCATCACTTAGGTAATCCAAAATGACACATAAGTTAACCATCGTTTACATTGGGCTTTGTGATGTGTGTTTATACTAACATTCCAATGTGTCTGGGTCCAATCTGAGAATTCACAACACTTCAAATGAAACAAGAAAGCCACCCTGAAGGTCTGATTCAGGAAAAGCTGGAAAGTTCACCAGCCTTACTGAATGGACAGCATCAAAAGATGCTATACAGCCCCTCAAGCAGGGCATGTTATTCTCAACAAGTTTGTTGATTCACACCTTTCCTGGGCCCCAGCCAGAGTTATGAGTGGGGTGGTGAGAAGGGGAAAACAAACCTTTTATAGAAGAATATAT